GCAGCTTGTATTTGATTTTTTTTTTAAGGCATTCCAATTGCAACAGTATCCTGGAAGCCATATGAGGAGGGAGTTTCGAGAGGGCTAGGATGATTGATAGGTCCCAGGGATTTAGAGAGACTGCCTCGGTGGGCAACCCATGAGCTGAGAAAGAGGCCTCTCAGGGGAGGGTGGGGGCAAAGCCAGACTGCAGGAGAGATGGAGAAAATCAGCAAGGATCAAGAGACACAGGAAGTCAACCTGCTCCCCAGAAGTCTGGGAGCGAAAGAGAAGAGCTGCGGGTTCACCCTCACTTCATTGACCTCTGCACATTAAATCACTTGCCACATTTTGTCAGTGGTACCTTCTAAAGATTTCCTTATTCCTTCCCTTCCTCTCCATCCCTCCGACCTCCTCCCTCATTCAGGACGTTGCCATCTTTTTCCTGGGCTTAAACCACCTTGAAATCCATCTTCTGTGTGTTCTCATCACCCCGTTTCTGGAATTCCAAATTCTGTTGGTGGCAGAATTGGTGGGCCTCCTCCTTGTGCCATTAGCTCCTCCGTGATTTCTCAGCGGTTGAGGAGGCAGTGCTGTGTGACTAGTTCTGATTCTTAAAACAGGAGTATCAGCTCCAGCTCCAGGCATTGAAAATCCCTGCTGTTTTTCCCGTCAATGTGACCACCATGTTCCCACCAGTTCTGCTACAAGACAGCAGAGGCACTTTTTACCTAGATCCCTGCGTGACTCTATGGAGCAGAACCCCTAAAAGTTCTTTCCTGGACAAGTGGCATGAGCAAAACATAAACCTTTGCTGTGTTACATCACTGGGGCTTAGGGTTGGTCTGTCACTTAGCCTGCCTTGAATAATCTACTGACCAAGACTTTTTTTTTTTTGCATAAAATCCTTAAGTGTCTCCCCCATGACCTATTAATTAGAAGGCAAACTCTGCCCTGACCTGGAACGTCCACTGTGGTGCGGCCCTAGCCTGCCTCTCTGACAGCAGCTTTGCTATTTTCACACATTCTGTTCGAACATCAGTAGGTTTGCTTCTTGCTTCCAGGCCTGTGCTCCTGCTGTTCCCTTTATCGGAGCTGCCCCTTCCACAGCTTCCCTCTTGCAGACAATTTCTGTTTACTTTCTGAATCACCTCGACCAGTAAGCCTTCCTTGATTTCCTCCCTAATCCAGGCTAGATAAGGTGGCCGGCATCTGGGCTCCCGCGTTATCCTATTCACTGTCACCACGAGAGCGAATAGCTCACTAAGTACATCTATCAACACACTTGACACACTGGCCTAGAGTCACCTGCCCTTGTCTGTTTCCCTCCGCAGACAAAACCCAGGGCAGGGACTACGTTTTATGCAACTCCATAGTCCCCTCGTCTAGAAGACTCTTTGAACCATAGCAAACGTTCAATAAATGCTTGTGGACTGAGGAGTTAAGCAAACGGATTGTGCTTGATGATAGCAGGCTCGTAAACATTTGTGTTAATGGGGCTTTTTTTCAGTTCCAGAGACTAACGACCCACGGTCAGCTCAAGGGAGAAGGGGCCGGCAGTGAATCCCTGAGGAAGTGGGGGCCGCAGAACTCCCGACCTCACCAAGACCAGCTTCAGAAAGTGACTAGCTCTAGTGGCCCGACAGCCCAGGTGTTGGTCGGGTGCCCAAAATGAAACAAAACAATCTGCCAGAGAGCATGCAGAATAGGATTCCACCTATGTTTAAAATGTTTTAAATCTTATATAAAGTTTCAGAAGGAAATGTAAGAACCTAGAACAGCTTTTAACTTTAAGAAATGAGAGTGGCGAGTGAGCTTTGGGGACTGAGGGGATGAGGTGGTAAAAAGTATTTTATTTTTTGTTTTATACCTTCTGTATTTGTAATTTTGAAATTTTTACCATGAGCATGTAATACGTTTATAATTCATGAAATTAGCTCAATCTTTTTTTTTTTTTTTTAACCTTTCTGTGATGACATGGTCTCTCTTGGGCTTTCCG